AGCCCAAGAATAACCCATTAGATCAAATGCCATTAAAGACAAAATTGAAAAGTTAACAACAGATCCCAAGTGTAGACTCTGCAAGGAAGCAGGTGAAACAACAGATCATATCCTCAGCTGCTGCAAGAAGATCGCTCAGACAGACTACAAGCAGAGGCATAACACCGTTGCTCAAGATGATTCATTGGAACTTGTGCCACAAATACCATCTGCTTGCAACAAAGAACTGGTGGAATCACAAACCTGTAAAAGTTACAGAAAATGAACACATCAAACTACTCTGGGACTTCCAAATTCAGACTGACAGAGTTTTGGAGCACAAGACTCCTGACCTCACGATTGTGGAACAAAACAATGTATGGATTGGCTATGTTGCAATCCCAGGAGACAGCAGGATTGAAGAGAAACAACTGGAAAAGCTGACATGATATGAGGATTTAAAGATTGAACTGCCAAGACTCTGGCACAAGCCAGTCAAGGTGGTCCCAGTGGTGATTGGCACACTGAGTGCAGTGCCTAAAGACCTTGGCGTGCACTTAAACAGGACAAGATTACCATCTACCAGCTGCAAAAGGCCACCTTACTGGGATCTGCATGCCGATACATCACACAGTCCTAGACACTTGGGAAGTGTCTGATGTGTGATCCAATACAAAAGGCAGTAGAGTGATCTTGTTTGTTGTGTACTAATCTTGTTGTGTATCTAATAATAATAATCATCATCATCATCATCATCATCCAATACAACAGCCATCAGAGTGATCTTGTTTGCTGTGGACTCATCTTGTTGTGTTTCAAAAAATAATAATACATCACACAGTCCTAGACACTTGGGAAGTGTCTGGCGTGTGATCCAATACAACAGCCAGCAGAGTGATCTTGTTTGCTGTGTACTAATCTTGTGTTTCGAAGAAGAAGAAGAAGAAGAAGAAGAAGAAGAAGAAGAAGAAGAAGAAGAAGAAGAAGAAGAAGGACTACTACTACAACTGCATTATATAGGTCTACACTGAACATATAATGCAGATTCCAACTGCATTATATGGCACTCTGGATCCTGCCAGTGTCAAATGGGATTTCTTTCTTTTTTCCTGTATCATTATTAGAGCCAAGTCCTCGTAGTAATCCCTACTAAAATAGGCCTGCTCTAGTTGGGGTTGCCAATAGGATTCAGGAATTACCCGTATTTACTCAAATCTAATACTCCATTGTGTGTATCCTTCACCAAAATCCTCCGTAAACAAGCTCTTGGTTTGGTCGCCAGCATTCATTGTTAGGATAATGCTATATTCTTTGTCCATTTAAATCTTAAGAATCCGTGAGGATTGTGTGTTCTCTCTATTCCCATTGCTCCTCCGCCTCCGTGGCCCAGTTGAAATGTAAGCAGCAACCTCTATGGGTTAGAGACATGCTTCCACTTAGCTTTCGTTTATTTTAATTTGAAAAGAATTTCATACACACGGATATAGCAATGTAAGTAATATATAATTTTGTACGGCAGGCCATTTACCCAGTGTTTTGAAGTTACGCTTCTTTGAGCTTTGCTTTATTTGTTTGCTCGCCTACATTGGTGAGGGCCAGGATTCACATGACGTGAAGCCCTTGTCATCTTTTGTGATTAGCGCTTAGTTCGTGATGTTTTCCGTAATGAGCAAACAGCTGTTGGGAGAGATTTGCCGTCCTGCCTTGCCCACCTCCTGCTGTACCACTGCCAGGACTTTGTCCCCGTTCTCCTTTTACACCTTTCCAAAACGGCTCATGCCATAATGGTAATTTCAGGCAACAAGGCAAGCTGTGCAGAAGGACATTGTCAAAATCAGCATTGGGTGTCTTCATCTATCTCCATGTTCCCAAAGATGCTTCCTTTAAATGTTGAGAATCCCACCTTTTGTTCTTAGAAGGTTTGAGCTTTCGGATAGAAGTCTTCACATACAAATTTCTACATGCAGTGGCAAGATCCTTGGATGCTGAAGTCTCATTATATACAACGGTATCCCGTATTTAAAATGGCACAATCAAGGTATGCTTTTTAGAATTTTATTTTTAGGAGGGGTGATTATTTTCAAGATGTCGACGGTTGAATCTGCAGATATGGAATCCATGGATTCGAAGGGTCAACTGTATAATTTTTGTTAAGGAGCCCCCGGTGGCACGGTGGGTTAAACCCCTGTGCCGGCAGGACTGAAGACCAACAGGTCGCAGGTTCGAATCCGGGGAGAGCGTGGATGAGCTCCCTCTATCAGCTCCAGCTCATTTGGACATGAGATAAGCCTCCCACAAGGATGATAAAACGTGAAAAATCCAGGCATCCCCTGAGCAACATCCTTGCAGACGGCCAATTTTCTCACACCAGAAGTGACTTGCCATTTCTAAAGTTGCTCCTGACACGACAAAAAATTGTTCTTATGTACTTACTTACTTAGGCAATCCCTCATAGCCTGAAGATGATGGTTCTCCAAGTGTAGTGTCTTGACAATGGGTCTGTAAGTGGCTATGGAGCCCTATTCTTGATCCATATGTTCTCCTGCAGTGATGGCATCAGTTTCTAGGTGGAAGGTGGTCAGTGAGAGGCCGATCTCATGTTCAATGAGAGGCCAAGTTTCTTGTATGCTTCTGCAAAGGTGTTTATGGTGGGTTGTAGGTCTTCTTCTGAATGTGCACAGACTATGCTATCATCAGCATATTGGAATTCTATAATTGATGTTGTTGTGACTTTGGTTTTGGCTTCCTGCTGAGGTTAAATAGCTTGTCGTCTGTCCGATAGATGATCTCCACTCCGGTGGGAAGTTTCTCATTAAGAAGATGAAGTATCATAGCAATGAAGATGGAGAATAAGGTTAGGGCAATAACACAACCCTGTTTGACACCTGATTCCACCTTAAATGGGTCACTTTGGGAGCCATTGCTGTCCAAGACTGTTGCCATCATGTCATCATGGAGGAGCTGCAGAATGTTCACAAATTTATCAGGGCACCTGATTTTTTGGAGGATGGTCCAGAGAGCACTGCGATTCACTGTGTTGAATACCTTAACATATGACATCACATAGTTGTATCACACAATTCAGAGGTACATGTTAGATAGATGACACATTGTTAGAAAGGAATGGATTGGCTGTAACCCTGGTGTAAATACAGTTCTAATGAACATGTGATCACACATTTGCTTCATGATTTAGTTGGTGATCTGTAAAAGGCTGAGTCATGACCATGTGACATTCATGACGAAGAGTTTCATCATTCACTTTTGTTCCCAGCTGATGATGAACAAGCAGTGTGTATAAAAGAAGGCAGAAAAAATGTTTTCTTTCTCATGTCTTGCCATCTTGCCGTATGTCTGTTGCTGATATCTGTTGCTCATTGTGAGTATATCGTTGCATATGCCATTGACTGATAGAGAATCAAGGGATCTTGATTTGTGTGTATATATTTGTACATAGAGCAACATGTCGAGATTAAAAGCCTCCTGTGAGTTTGGATGAAAACTGAATCAGTGAGTTTTCTTAAAGAGAGAGCAGCACAAGGTCATGCGGCAAGGTTCCACTCTGCTGACAATTGATAAGAACTCTGCTCAGTCCGGTGCGCAGCATATCTAGGAAGGGCGTGATTGGAAAGAAAACTATAAATCATGCACCTATCCTGCCTCAACAGTATATTTATAGTCTGAAAACTAACAATTTCCTAGCATACATATGGATTGCAATCCTGTTGGTATCCTATGCATGTGTCTGTTGACTTCTGTGTGTGGTTGTACTTCTTTAGTTATTATGCAATAGATATTATTCAGGTCATAGTTGCACAAGCAGAGCTTCATAGATACAACCGGCAGTTCATTTTTGAATGGCAAGCAACTACCTTTCAGTTCCTTTATTCTGACACTTGATTCATAGGAATTTCTTAAACAGTCACAGTTTCAAGCCCTGGTTTCCAGAGTTGTATATTTATTTATTTATTTATTTACCTTACTTATATACCGCTGTTCTCAGCCCGAAGGCGACTCACAGCGGTTCACAACAAATACGAACAGCAAAAATTCAGTGCTACAGTATAAAAACAGTTAACAACCTAACACATTACACAATTAATAAACAGTTACTACAATACCCATTCACTGTCGTCTCGTCATCAAAAACATGTTCCAGATTCGTCATCCATTGTTCCATTCCAGTGTTCATTAACCAATCATTGCACTAATTATTGGAACGCCTGCTCAAACAGCCAGGTCTTCACTTTTTTGCGGAATACCATTAGAGATGGTGCTAGTCTAATGTCCGTAGGAAGGGCGTTCCACAGCCGAGGAGCCACCACCGAGAAGGCCCTATCTCTCGTCCCCGCCAGCCGTGCTTGAGAAGCAGGCGGGATCGAGAGCAGGGCCTCCCCGGAAGATCTCAAAGTCCTGGTGGGTTCATAGGCAGAGATGCGGTCGGATAGGTAGCTTGGGCCGGAACCGTTTAGGGCTTTAAAGGCCAACGCCAGCACTTTGAATTGAGCCCGGTAGCAGATCGGTAGCCAGTGGAGTTGGCGCAACAGGGGGGTTGTATGCTCCCTGCGCTCCGCTCCTGTTAAAATCATGGCTGCCGAGCGTTGGACTAGTTGGAGCTTCCGAGCTGTCTTCAAAGGCAACCCCACATAGAGAGCGTTGCAGTAGTCTAAACAGGATGTAACCAGAGCGTGGACTACCGTGGCCAAGTATTTAACTGTCTTCTGTTTTGTTTCATTTGCGAATACGTCACTTTGAGCAACTAAAGGGTGAATGTTTTATAGAATATGTAATATATAATTTCTATGATCATGTTTTATATAATAAATTGTGTTTTTCAAAATACGGACATGTTTCACATTGTCTTCCTTTCCCACGAAGTATATCAGCAACCCAAGCAGTGCATCCCTTCCCTCTCTCCATTGGATTATAAAGGAATTGGAAATATTTCCGATGCAAAAGTCTTCTTCATTCTTGAACAGACAATCCTCTCTTGTTCAGTCCTGTTTCCTCTTTCTTTTCAGGGGGAGGATTGCTCTGTCACATGTGCAACCGGAACCTATGGAATCAACTGCTCAATGGCTTGCTACTGCAGAAACGATGGCGCATGTTCCCCGGTGGATGGCGCATGCTTTTGCAGGGAAGGTAAAGTCTGTCCTTTTTCCCTAAAGTGGCATAAATTAGTCTTTCTCACCTAAGGATTTCAGGCCATGAAGGAAGCCACAGTTTCCAGAGTTGTTCCTGTGATCAATGTCATGCACAGTCTCCAACTAACATCTGAGTGGTTTGTGGATATTTCTGAGCAAACATCTCAAATCCCTCAGAGGACATCCAACGTGGATCTCTGATGTGTTTTAAACCTCCGCTTCCTTCATCCCCAAGGAGGCTGGTCATATTGGATCTATACCAGGGAAGACGTCTAACCCATCTGGAGACCATTCGGTTGGGGAGAACTTGCAGAGTTGAATTTCACTATTGAGTGGGAAGGAGTTGTTTGCATATAATTATACGTGTTCCTGATTTGAAAGTGTTATTTCCTTTTTAATTGTGCAGTCCTTATTTTGAAAGTAGTTGTTCTATTCCAGAAACTTCATTTTTTGTTGTTACCACTAACTGTGTGGAATTGGTTGAGACCAGATATTCATTGATAAACTAGAGCAAAATGTGCTATGTTCTAAAACAACAAAGTTTTTGCCGTTTAATCAATCAACTTTCCCCATGTTTTTATGATAGAACCAATTAGGAAATGACATTTATCACCCAGGAACAAAGATCATGCTATATAGCATAATGTACCATCTCCAGGAGATGAGATGGAGCCCCCAGTGTCACAATGGGTTAAACTCTTGTGCCGGCAGGACTGAAGACTAACAGATTGCAGGTTCAAATCCAGGGAGAGCACAGTTGAGCTCCCTCTATCAGCTCTATCTTGATAGAATCATAGAATCATAGAATCAAAGAGTTGGAAGAGACCTCATGGGCCATCCAGTCCAACTCCCTGCCAAGAAGCAGGAATATTGCATTCAAATCAGACAGATGGCCATTCAGCCCCTGACAGATGGCCATCCAGCCTCTGTTTAAAAGCTTCCAAAGAAGGAGCCTCCAGCACACTCCAGGGCAGAGAGTTCCACTGCTGAACGGCTCTCACAGTCAGGAAGTTCTTCCTCATGTTCAGATGGAACTCATTGTGAGGATATGAGAGAAGCCTCCCACAAGGATAGTAAACATCAAAACATCCGGGCATCCCCTGGGCAACGTCCTTGCTGATTGGCCAATTCTCTCACACCAGGAGCAACTTGCATTTTCTCAAGTTGCTCTTGACACAAAAAAAGGAGATGAGATGCTACCATATTTTTCCCAAGTATGCTCTTGCCCATCGATTGGACACATATCAAGAAACCTGTATATGTGTGCAACAGCATGGCATTTCCCAGGACCTGCAAAGTGGATGCTTTGTCTTGCTTTCTGCCTTGAATCTTACTTTAACTTGTTTTTTGTGGTTTTCCAGGGTGGCAGGGAGCGGACTGCTCCATCCCATGCCCAAGTGGCACTTGGGGCCTCAACTGCAACCAGACATGCTTCTGCGCCAACGGAGCCGCCTGCGACCCCATGGATGGGCTTTGCCTGTGTTCTCCTGGATGGCAAGGAGAGTTCTGCGACGAACCCTGCCCTGTAAGTCCTTCTCTCATCCTCCTCTGGCACAGCCATTGAGATACAATGAGAAAGAAATATGACAAAGAAGCTCTGCCTAGGTAATGCTTTTTCCTCTCTTTTTGGAAGGATGGGACATATGGCCTGAACTGCAGCGAACACTGTGACTGCAGCCATGCAGACGGGTGCGATCCCATCACTGGATATTGCTGTTGCCTTGCCGGTTGGACAGGTAAAATTGCATGAGAGAAAAAGCAGAATATGAATGCGAATATAGTGTTATACAGTGTGGTGGTGGTGATGGTGATGATGATGATGATGATGATGTAACCAATTACACTATCCTGCTATTCGGTCTACAACCAGATCAATCAGCAACTTTATCCTTATACCCTGTTTTATCCTACCGACTTGGATCTACACTGCAATATAATGCTGTTTGAAACTGCATTATATAGTCTGTGTAAAGCCATATAATGGGTTTTAAGGGCATTTAATTGCATTATATGAGTCTGCACCAGTGGTTCCCAACCTGTAGTCTGTGGACCACCAGTGGTGTGCAAGAACTAAAATATCCTCTGCAGTCTCACAGTTACTACACCGTTGCAACAAGAGTGATGGGTCTTGCAAAAACCCCTTATAGTGGCAAGGCTTATTAAATATGGTTTTCTGTGGGTGAGCAGATGGCAACTGTGGATGGCATATGTTCTGTATCAGAAACTAGAGCTGATGTGGTCTATCCAATGCAATTTTCTGAATCAACACCCCAAGTGACCAAACCAAATCTAAAGTTGACAAAAACTGATTCGTAACCCTTTTGGTACTAATGTTGGAGAGTAGTCCCTGGTCAAAGTGGACCCTGGTCTTAGGGTCCCTGGTCAAGTGGTCCTTGGTCAGAAAAGGTTGAGAACCACTAGTCTACATTGACCATATGAATACCATTCTAAACTGCATTATATTGCAATGTAGATCCAGTCCAAGAGCCGTTTTTCCTTTGGGAGAATTTCTGGAGTAATTTGTTTTAGCTAGGAATGATGGATGGTGGGCCTTAGAGGCCTTCTTCTTCTTCTTCTTCTTCTTCTTCTTCTTCTTCTTCTTCTTGCACAAAGTCAGGAACAAAGTGGCAAATATCTCTTTTTTATTGCAGAATTGATGCAAATGGAGCACTTTTCCTCAGTTTGTATCATTTGCCGTGGTCCGACTTTATACCCGAGGACAATATCTGGATTGTCCCTGAGCTCTAAACACTACTGTTGTGAAATGATCTCAGTGCTGATTTCATTGCATCTCTCCAGATCCCCTTTGCATTCCTCCCCTTTTGTTTCTATTTAGTTGCAAGAATTTATTTTTCCTTCCCACATTGAAATTAATATGCATCTTCTGCACGCAATATAGACATTATTGATCTTCTTTTCAATATATGCTAATAACTTCATACTTTCCTTTCTCGCTCGAGCAAAGTACATTTGTGTATCATTTTTGTCGCATTTGTTTTTGAAACATACATTTGGATTTGGGTGCTTTTTTTTTTGTTTAGAAACACAAACGTGCAGATTTTCAGAGAGAAGTGTGCTTTGCCTCACAATAAGCCTTGGAAAGAATGAAATTAGTAATTTAAGTAAAAATATCAAAATGCCCCAAATACACTTGGATACTTCATTTCATCCATACCTGACTTCTTCTATCTTTCCTTTCCTTCCCTTCCTCTTTCTTTTTATTTCCTTCCTTCCATTCCTCTTTCCCTTTCTCCTTTCTTTCTTTCTTTCTTTCTTTCTTTCTTTCTTTCTTTCTTTCTTTTCCCTTCATTCTTTCTAGCCTTCCTTCCTTCCTCCTTCCTTCCTTCCTTCCTTCCTTCCTTTCTTGTTTGTTTGTCTCCTCCTTCCTTCTTTCTATCCTTCCTTCCTTTCTTTCTTAACTTCCTTTCTTTCCTCCCTCCCTCTTTCTTTTTCTCTACCCTTTGTTATAAATAACTTTCCCACACTGAAAAAGAATATCCCATTCTGACACCACTTTGTCATGAATAACTTTCAATAACTTTACAGCATAGGTTCTTTTTATTGCAATTTCCAGTGTGAGATGGCACATTAGATTACAGAAAAACATTTAGACAAAGAATGACATTAGACATACAGACATACAGATTCTATGTGACTACTTTGGATTTACAATTACATGACTAACAAACAAACAAACAACAGAGAAGTACATTTTCAGTTACCTCTCTCTATCCTTCCTTTTTTTTCCCTTCCCTTCCTTCCTTTCTTTCTTCCTTCCTCCCCTCCCTCCCTCTCTCTTTCTTTCTTTCTTTCTTTCTTTCTTCCCTTCCTTCCTTCCTTCCTACCTACCTACCTACCTACCTACCTACCTACCTTCTTTCTTCCCTTCTTCCTTTCCTTCCTTCCTTCCTTCCTTCCTTCCTTCCTTCCTTCCTTCCTTCCTTCCTTCCTTCCTTCCTTCCCTCCCTCCCTCCCTCCCTCCCTCTTTCGTTCTATCCTTCCTTCTTTCCTCCTTCCTTCGTTCTTTCCTTCCTTTTCTTCCTTCTTTCCCTCCCTCCTTCCTTCCTTCCTTCCTTCCTTCCTTCCTTCCTTCCTTCCTTCCTCCCTCCCTATTCCCTCCTTCCTTTTCTCTCTCTCTCTTTCTTTCTCTTTGCTTTGAGAGGGGTGGTTCATATGAGCTGTCTGTGAGTTATCAGATGCCATTTTTTGGTTGCTAAAATGTTACAGAATAACTCCAGCTTCTGGAAACAGCCACAAACTCCAGGACTATTCAAATGTGAAGCCAGAATTCTTCCAAGAGCTGGCCTCGGTTTTTGAGGGGATCAACAGCATCATGAATAGGTTGATATCACTGAGAAGCAGTGGAAAGTAACCAAGGATGTTATCCCATGCAGCCCCGTCTCCTCATTTTTGAACAGCTTTAAAACTTCTGCCTTGCATCCATCACCCATCCAATCTGTTAAATTCGCTTGCATTGAATCGTTTTGGTAATGGGAAGGAATGGGCATCTCTATGAGCAATGTCTCCAAATTTCCCAAAATCCAGCCGCCTGATCCTTGCATGGTCTTTTATTGTATTAAATCTATTCTATAGATGTTGCACTACTTCAGGAGATCGCTACTTTGCTTTTGTTTGATTCTAACCTTTCAAAATTGCGCCTTTACCTGCCTTTTCTTCCTCACTTATTTCAAAACTAAAGCAAGCAATCCATTAAAAAAAACTGTTGGGAAGGGGAGCAGAAGAGCCCATGGGGAGAAATGGGGTCTGGCTGCACTTGATAAATCTGAAAATAGATAATTTCGGGAGAAAATACAAGAAACAACACGGTGTGATGGGTATGGATAAATGATACAATTCACTATTTAATGCAATGGGACTAAACACCACAGCAATATGACACTTTCCATCTCTCATGGGATGAGGTCCCAAGTTGGGGTGGCTAACACTGCAACCTAGGGAGCTGTTTAAAAGGCAGCGGTTTATGCTGCAAACATCTTGTTTTTAAGAGATGCTGGCTCAATTTTACTCCAGATTCGAGCCAAGTTGGACAGCGGCAGAGGAAATGGGCTAGTGGTGCTGATGGGCTAGCAGTGTTTTGCTTTGCAAAAGTGGCCAGTGTCCTCCAAACCAGAGACGGGAAGCAATTTGGTGCATCCCTGGATTTATTGCTGTGCCTTCATTAAAGCGCTGGGCCTTAATTATCATCCCTGGATTACTTCTGCTGAGAAAACAGTGGGATTGCACAGAAAGTTTTCTGAAGCATCCCAAAATCACAAGGCAACTCCATATATATATATATATATATATATATATATATATATATATATATATATCAGCATGGAAGGAACCCAAACAGGAAGGAGAGGAAGCGATGGAATGGTGTTGCTTGGAAACCAAGCACATTTATGATGAGGCACCGGCGGCATCGCAATCCACAACGTGGCCATGGCCTTTGTCATGCCAGATGCTCACCTGGTTTCCTCACTGCAGAGCCTTTATTCCAAATGGGCAGCCAAACAACAAAGGCTCTCTTTATACCTTTTGGAAAGGTATTGTAGTATAAGTGGCCTTTGTCAACAAAGCACACGCCTGTCGGAGATGCACCACAATGCATAACTTCTCCAATTGTTCACTTTCCTATGAACGAAACAACTTCTCTTCTTTTTTCGGCCTCATTTTCTCCCCACTTTGAAACAGATATTGTGGCAATCTGTTTCTTGGGATTGTTGCAAAGACAAGGAAGGTGGTGGGGATGGTGGGTGCGTTATCCCCTCCGAGCCTCATGTGAGCAAACGGTCGGGCTCTCAAAGCTTTCTTTGAAGCCTCCACCTCTTCGAAAATATTACAGAATGAGGCGGTGCAAACACTGGATCTTGAAAGCATCCAGAAGCAGATTTAGAATCATAGAGTTAGAAGAGACCCCTAAAGGCCATCCAGTCCAACCCTAATCTGTCTTCATGCAGGAAAAGCACAATCAAAGCACCCCCAACAGATTGCCATCCTGTGTCTGTTTAAAAGCCTCCACTGGACTCCAAGGCAGAGAGTTCCACTATTCTTGTGATTAGGAAGTTCTTCCTCCTGTTCAAGTTGAATCTCCTTTCCTGTCATTTGAACCCATTGCTCCATTGAGTTTTACTAACATGAGTCCATAACTCACATACTATATCCTGGATTTTTCCCATCTTTCCCCCTTTTTAATTTGTTTATTTGACTTTGAAAACAAAATAAAAACTTATTTGCAACAACGAAGTAGCAAAACAAGCATTCTTTCTTCCTTAGGTCATCCTTTCAGATATGGTTCTCATGTCTCCTCTCAACTTTCTTTAGGTTTAAAACAGCAGAGAAGGAACACATCCATACACACTCCAAGTCAAAAATCAAAGCAGGAAACAAACGCCCAATCCCTTCTAGTGCCACTTTATTTTATACAGCACATATTTCCCATGTTTGAGGCCCGGTGTGGGTGCGTATTGGGGTTACCAAGAACATTGCATCTTCTCGTCCCTTCGGAAGTGGCCCACTCTTGCTTCAGCTTTCCGTGGAAGTGGGGCTGCCGGGCTCTACATGTTAGCGCAAGCCTACGCATGGAGAAATATAGGATGCAATGTTCTTTGAACTGGAACATTAGCATGCAGAAGAGAAATATAGAGGGCATAGGCACAGGCATGAATCATTTTGTTTTATAGAGAACGACGCAGACAAAAGAGTGTGTTGGAACTGAGCAGATGGTTTTTAT